GAAAGAAAGAAAGAAAGAAAGAAAGAAAGAAAGAAAGAAAGAAAGAACGAACGAACTTGGCAATGTCATGGGCTTTCTGAAACCTCAAAGCTAACTCTTAATAGCATACCTCCTCCAACAGGGCCACAACACCTTATCCTTCTCAAACAGTTTCAACAGGTGATAAGTATGTGAGGTTATAGAGATCATTTTCATTCAAACTACCACAAATAAAAAGATTATCAATATATTGAGTGATTTATTCTAACAAAACCTGTTGATTCTTTTATTTTCTCTTTGATTCATCCTTTCTTTTCTAGCCCATATCCACATTAGTTAAGCAAATTCTTTTTGTTAATGTTAAAATGTGACCTTATAGGATATGAGTTTGTGTCATCCCAAATTCCTGTGTTGAAACCATATCCACAGTAGTATTGGGGCTATGAAGAAGATGTTGGTTCTTGAGAGTTGAACCTTCACACTAGGTTGATTGCCTTATGATAAGAGAAAACACAGTGCATGATCCCCTTGCTCTGTCATGTGAGGATTCTCTAAGAGGAAGTCCACCTGTACTTCCAGAAAGAGACCTATCTCCTGATCCTGACTCTGTTGAGGCCTTGACTTGTGCCTTGGGCTCCAGTGATGGGCAAAACTGACTGCTCTTGTAAAAGTTGTATGGTTTGCACAGTTCTCAACAGAACATGCACTTAAAAGGCGGGAGAATGGTACATTTAAAGTGGTGAGAGGAAAAAGTAACAAAACCTGCTAATTAAACTGTAGTCACAAAACTATCCTTCAAATGTCAAAGAGAAATCAGTATTTTCCTCAGATGAGTAAAATTTATAGTAGCTTATTACAAAGTGAGAGAAAAAAGTGGGAATGTGGAGTTAGGAGAATGGAAATAAGTGTGACAGATATATGAAACTGTACATAGACGTACAAATTCATAACAATGTTAAATGCAGCCACGTAGAAACTTGTATTATTAAATCCAAGTAAGTCAATCGCCAATCCATCTGGCATAGTGCTTTCTTTTTTAATCCTTAGTTATAAATTTCTCAGTGAAAGAATGGATGATTTTCATCAACAGTAACAGAAATTTTACACACAGATGAGCTTATTATCACATTAAAATACATTTTTAAATGCAATTGCAATGCTATTCCCTAAGAACATATGTGATATACACAAAAGAATACATGAAAGAAATAGAATCATGCCACTATGAAAAGTACTGAACATAGAGAAGGACAGAAAAGAATATAAGTGGAAAATACAAAAAGAAACACAACATACAAATTTAGCAAAGTTGCAACAGAAAGTATTTCCTGATGATATTTACTTTAATATAAAGAAATACAGCACAGGAAAACATGCTGGTTGGTTTAAAAGATAAAATTAGAATGAAACTGGGGCTGGAGAGGTGGCTCACTGATTAAAACACTGTCTGCTGTTCCAGGGGGCTAGGGTTCTGTTTCCTGTGGGAAGCCATGGCAAGGCCTTACTCTTAGCAGACACTTACCCTTGGCTCTCCTACCTACTAGTCTTCTTTCTGCTTGCCTTGCATGATTCCCTTGCTGTATTTTCAGTTCTCAATACTTCAAACAAGGCCTCATAGCAACCCTCCTTAGTAATCCTTCCTCCTGACCTTTAGATTTAGTTGACATCCTGCTAGATAGATGTTTTTAGAACCCCAGGCAATGGCAAGGCTTTGTGAGAACAACAGGCATAACCTAGTTAGACCCCACAGCTGCAACCCAATTCTTCCACTTGCAAAGCCCCCTTTCCCTTCCTTCCCCTCCCCATATCCTGTTTTCAGAGTATATAACCTGTGTGAACAATAAAATCTTTGCCAGCTTGATCAGACTTCTTGACTTGCTGTGCCTCCTTATTTTCTCGTGCATCTCAGTCCTCTCCACAGGGTCTAAGGGTCCCACTTGATTGTCCAGCTGGACTGGATAGTTTCTATTACCCACATCATGATCACACTGTCTATAATTTCCATTCCAGAGTGTCTGATGTCCTCTTCTGGCCTCTTCCGTCATCCAGCATACACGTGGTGCACAGACATATATGAAGGCAAATCCACTCATACACGTAAAATAAAAGCATGATAATTTAAAAGGTAAAAATCAGATAAGAGACTCATTATATGGCTATATCTACTACGTAATGATGTAATAAACTCTTTTAGTCTTAATATGGAATTTATTTTCCTAGATATCTAATAATAATCACTAAGCAGGTTGACATGTTTTCTAAAAGAAAATTACAGTAAATCTGTCACCTCAAACTTCATATTTGAGACATTAAGCTTCATGTTTAAAAGACATAGAAGTATGAAAGGTTTCCTCCATGTATTTAGGCAGGGAAGCAAACCATAGGAGATAAGAATGAAAACCCAGTGCAGATTGACCTTTTTACCCTGGATAAGATTTAGAGAAGTCTAATGCCAAGTGGTTCATTTTTAGGATAACAAGATACAATTCAAGAAAAGATTTCTAAGAAGCAATTAGTCCAATCAGTCCAACTCTAGGTGCTCAATAATGCTTATTATATGACTACATAGAACAATTTTACAGAGTACATATGACATACGCATAGGTTCTATAACTAAAAGACCAAGAATCTAGTGTGGTCTCTGACCCATAGCCTAGAGGTCAATAGGCTACAAAGTACATGTGGCATCTCTCCTAAGGATGGGTAACAGTCTAGGGAGATAAGAGTCTGTGATAATTATTCTGAGGAATGTGAGTGAAGTGTGCCTCTATAACAAAAGGTGGGTAACATCTGTTGTGCTACCACAGATATGTCATTAACAAAATCTATTCTCTGCTTTATAAATGGAATGCAGATATTTGAAATTTTTCCTCCATTGAGGAGAGACCCTTGCATGATTTATATTCCCAGTTCACTTAGTGCTGCCTGTGAGTACAAGGGCATCTGTGTCCTCAATACAATAGAGCTAGAGGTAGATGATAGATAAATAGATGATAGGTAGAAAGATAGATAGATGATAGATAGATGATAGATAGATAGATAGATAGATAGATAGATAGATAGATAGATGATAGATAGATGATAGATAGATAGATAGATAGATAGATAGATAGATAGATAGATAGACAGATGATAGATGATGCACAGACATGAGATACATGTGATATCTAAGGACAGACATCAGATATTGAAGATATCTAAAGACAGAAATCAAATAAAAATGAAGGATTAGGGAAAAATTCTCTATGCAGATAAAAACCAAAGGAATGCAGTGGTGGTCATATATCTAACAAAATTTGTAAAAATAGCTAGCAAGACAGCAAGACTAGTAAACTGTGGAATCAATAATTATGATGCATATGCACTTGACAATAAAATTCCTAAGCACACAATGCAAAGGGTGATAGATAAGAGAGAAAGATAAGAACACAGTAGCATCAGAACACGTGCCTGCTTTGCTTTCTGCCATGGATTAATCAAGCATAGGGAAAATGAAAGAAGAAACAGTCAAGAGAGAAGATTTAGATACGGAGAGATGGAGATTAGATATAAATATCAATGATAGAGATAGATAGAGATAGGGAGATAGATAAAGATAGAGATATAATGCTATAGAAACCAATAGGAGCACAGCTGAATACAAATCCAGCAAATAAACCATGCCATGCCACATAACATAACTTTATACCCCATTCATACACATAGACATACACAATTGCCTCCATTTCCAGCTTCAGGGTATGAGGGATCTTCTCTTCTGGAATGTGTGGGACCTTGCACTCAAATACACACAACTATAAACCTGTGTATACATAATATTAAATTAGTAAAAAAAAAAAGTCCTTTGATGGAAAAACACATTCTTTTCAAACCTTGGATTTTTCTGTTTTTATTTTTCATTTCTAGTTTAATTCTCTCATAGTAGAGAGAGTAATTGGTATCTTTTTAATCTCTTAAAAATTGTTGGCGTTGACTGAGGAGATTTTTAAACCAAAAATGAAAGGAAACTATGGAAACTATTGCATCTAAAGCTCCACATTAACAAATAAACAACAAAACTTTGTTATTATCCAAGTAAATGCAGGAAAAAAACACATTATGTTGTTGAGGTTTGGTTGTAGCTCTGTATTTTAATGCTAAGTGCAGGCCACCAAGACTTAGTTGCCTCAAAGATGAGAGAGTCCACTCCTAGACTGAAGGGACCCTATGTTACCTTGCCCTCAAGTTATTTCTAATGGATGAATAAAGAT